TACTCTCTCTCTCTCTCTCTCTCTCTCTCTCTCTCTCTCTCTCTCTCTCTCTCTCTCGAGGGAGAGGAAGACGAAGAAGAAGGAAAAGGAAAAGGGCAAAAAGTAGTTGTACAGCATGATTAATTTCCCTTTTCTCACTCGTGTCATACATACATACATAATTTTGCAGTCAGGCCGTGACAAAGCTCTGCTCGTGAATTAAAAAGAAAAAAAAAAAAAAACGGAATTCCGCTTCGTGTGTGTGTGTGTGCAGAACCTGCTGTCACATGCTCTTTCCTTTCCCCTTTTTCTTTCCCTTTCTATCCTGCTCAAAACATTTGTGTGCATGCCATGCCATGCCATGCCATGCCATGCCATGCCCACTCGCGGCTCTCGCTTGTCTCCAAAGGAAAAGAAAAGAAAAAAACTCAACACGGCTACTCATCATCATCATCATCACCGATACCCAATAGCTCGAGGAGAACGATTATATGCAAGCCCACCACCACCACCGCCACCACCCCGCATACCCAACGGTAACATTTCACATTCCGCCAAATCTCTCACGCGAGCAGCGAGAGCATGCAACTCATAAACGAGTTCTTGCAAACGATACATGCGATATTCCATAAGATTTTGCCCATCGACATATTTGGCGACTCCACGAATCATGCGAGAAATTTCTTGCGTCGAAGTGTGTTGCTCTGCTCCTCGGAAGAAATCGTGAATCGTTTCAAAGGCATGTGCGTAGATTCGATACATGGGTGAAAGTTCCTGTGTGAGATGTTTGGGGGGGTTTTGGAGTTAGTCTTTCGTTGTCTTGTCTTGGGTGCAAAAGCAGTGCAATGCGATGCAATGCTTGCTCAATGTTGTTGTTGAAAAGGGGCTGATCTTACGAAGCCAGGTACGTATTGCTGCCAGAGTTCGCACCATCTGCATATGCTGTGTTGATGACCTGCTTCGTAGTAGGGTACATAAGATAGGTATCTGGTAGATCGCCGACTATCATTGTCGTTGGGACAATATGGACAGCTGCACCAGCTGAAGCCGTGAGAAGTCATATGAAAGGTTCTAGGGAGGATGGGTATTCAGTATGAGCTGTTGCACCTCGTTGATAGCCAGAATGACTTGATGATGGGAAGTGAGCGCTGCTCGAAGATTTTGTCGACTGACTGGTCGGCGGTGATGACTACCTGGATGATGAGACCAGGCGCCAGGACCATATTTTAGTTCTAGTACTCGTTTCCTCGAGTACACGTCGATCCTGCTGTGCGTCCGATTCTGAAATCGCGACGCGACATATTCACCGCTCCGTCCTGATACATGTACACGTCGATTCATCTTATGCGTCATGCCGCGGTTCTGGCAGCCTGTATGCAGACCATGTCGAGCAGCGTACAGGTAGCAAACACATTGGCCACGGTGACGTTGCACATATGAGCAGGACCTTGCTGTCATGCTGCAGAACGTGCTGGAGCCGCCGGCTGATAGATTCCGCGGCAACTAATTGGCGCAGATGATCACCGAGGAGGTAGAGCTTTGCGCTCGTGAACGATTCAGATACGGAATTGGCCGAATCGAAGGCCGGTGGGTGTGTGCCGGATCAGATCGGCGTCGTTATGCGTGGTAGGGCAACACCAATCTGGGGAGATGTGTCAGATGAGAGGTTGCCTTACTCGACAAATGCAGAGACGGCTGCACTATGTGCGGACCAATGTGCTCCCTACATGTTCTAGAAGGAATCAGTATCTGCCCGCTTTTGGAAATCCTATGCAGGCATCCAGTTCGTGCGAGCAATTCGTGCGCGGACATCTGTCCGAGGTCGTGCTTTGGCCCACCAGCCAGAGAAGCTCGCCGCCAGTAAGGTCCACGCGATTCGGAACGAACGCATATGGCCGAGGAGGAAACATTCTGCAAGCTCCGGCGCTCGTCGCATCGATGTCGTACAATTGCATTCCTTCCTCGTTGTCCCTTCACAGCAGCTGGTCTACGCCTGCGCTCTATGACTGCGGGGCAGATTTCTTGCAGTCATGAGACGCACTCCAGCCAGAGCGAGAGGGCGAGCGCGCCGTTTCGGGCCCGCTGCGAAATCGAGTCTGTCTGCGTGATCACACCCGTGCTACATCGTGAAAGTCGGTGCAACACGGCGGTCACGCTTTTGCACGCCTTGAGATTTCTCGCATACCTAGGCGAAGGTAATCAGTGAGGTTTGTCGTGGCAGCTTTCCTTTAGGCTGCCCAGGAACACCAGTGGATAGGAAGCAATGTGCTCCCAAAGCTGGTGATGTACAGCAAGTTGTCTGCAGTGCATCGTCACGCATTGTGGTGAGAGCTTGTGGTGAGCATGGTGTCTCGAGCGTGAGGTCCAAAGAGGATTTGTCAATTTCGCTCCGAAAAGAACTGCCACATTATTGCCCCCAACTGGAGTTCAAGTCGCACAATCTTACCCTGTGACCGGACCGAAAATAACCTGGCGTCTTGATACGTCCTCTGCTAAGCTGTCACGCCGGGAAATTGTGGCTGAAGAGGACGCCAAAACATGTTTTGCACTGTGTGTGGCATCTGTTCTGGTTTTTCGGTATGAATGCGGTCCGCGGGTCCTTGCTCGCGGTGACTCCTTTACATGTACCTGAGATTAAGTGCACCGGACTGGGCTGTCGTGGCGGAGTATATTTCTGCCTGAGTAGGATGCCGCCCACAGTAGGAGGTAGTAGCAGCCCCCAATTCAGGTTCTGTGGATGGTCTTGTCTTGTTTGCTCTCGAACTGCCGCATAGCCTGTTCTGGTGAGTTCCCTGAAGGCATCACAAGGAGGACCGGTGTCTTGAGCCGCACGGTCGGTAGGTCGGTATGTTGCTTATATCATGGTTTCTGTGAAGTGAAGTGAGGGATATATGTACCTCTCACACCGTCTTGGTACCTCCAAGTGAAGCAAGTCGGCCGGTGACGGAGCAAGTAAACGACAGAGCCAACCGATATCGGGCCTTGGCAGAACTAAACGCGTCTGGCGCCGTCATCGACGCGTTCTCTTGGAAGGTGTATATGTGTATACAGGTACCTGGTAGGAGGAATATCTTACATATTTGTACTTGCATAGTGCTTGCGAGGCCTCTGACATGGTGTGCTGTCCCATCTGTGAAAAGCCGGTCCTGGAAGCAGACATCAACCGACACATCGACTCCGGATGTAAGAAATTCATTGAAGGCGTCTCTCCACCAGCAACCTTTTCGCAGCTCGCACCACCAGCCACTCAACCCAATGGCACGAAGCCCAAGAGCACACAGTCCGCCAGATTCTTCACGCCCGCCGCCAAGAAGAGCGCCATTTTCCGCGCCGATGAGGTGTCTTCGCCTGCTGCCATACCAACTCCCATATCCCGACCCTCGATAGCACCCGCGAGTACTGCACCAGTAAAGCGGCGGCGAGACGAAGATCACGATGAACACCATCCAGAAGCAGTGCTGCCACCTGCAAAGAAGGCAAAGGATGCCCACAAGCCGTTGGCAGAGCGCATGCGCCCGCAGAGCTTGGACGACGTAGCAGGGCAAGAGCTTGTTGGACCTCATGGGGTACTGCGAAATCTGATAGTGTCAGATCGTGTACCATCCATGATCTTATGGGGTGGTCCAGGGACGGGAAAGACTACCATCGCACGACTCATCGCACAGACAGCTGGGACACGCTTTGTGGAGATCAACAGCACATCCAGTGGAGTGGCAGAATGCAAAAAGCTGTTCGCGGAAGCCAAGAATGAAATGGGACTGACGGGCAGGAAGACCATCATCTTCTGCGACGAGATACATCGGTTCAGCAAGAGTCAGCAAGATGTTTTTCTGGGTCCCGTGGAAGCTGGGCAAGTCACGCTGATAGGAGCGACAACGGAGAATCCAAGCTTCAAAATTGTAAATGCTCTGCTGAGTCGATGTCGGACGTTTGTCTTGTCGAAACTGACAGACGAGCACATTTTTGGCATTTTGAAACGAGCCCTTGCGCGAGAAGTCCCCAGTCTGCCTACGCCTTCGCCCAGCCCATCTGAAGAAGGGAGTCTCGACGCTGCAGATACCGCAGAAAGTAGCCTGAGTCTGCTGAGTGACGATGACTACTCTTTGATCCGATACCTCGCAGCTTTTGCCGATGGCGACGCTCGAACCGGTCTCAATCTTCTCGAACTCGCGCTCGACCTCTGCCAGAAACCCCACACCACAATCGAAGACATCAAGAAGAGCTTGACGCAAACTCTAGTATACGACCGAGCCGGAGACCAACACTACGACACCATCTCCGCCTTCCACAAATCCGTCCGCGGCAGCAACGCCGACGCCACACTCTACTACCTCGCGCGCATGCTCCAATCCGGCGAAGACCCCCTCTACATCGCGCGCCGCATGATTGTCATCGCAAGCGAAGACATTGGACTCGCAGACAACACCATGCTATCCCTCGCAACAGCCACATATTCCGCCGCCGAAAAAATCGGAATGCCCGAATGCCGCATCAACCTCGCCCATTGCGCCGTCGCACTAGCCTTGTCTCCCAAATCCGTCCGAGCATACCGAGGTCTCAACGCCGCATACACAGCCCTCCACGAACCGGGTATCGCAGGTCTCCCCATCCCCAAACATTTGAGAAATGCTCCGACGAAACTTTTAAAAGAACTCGAACATGGCAAAAATTACAAGTATAATCCCGACTATGTACAAGGTCGAGTCGTGCAGGATTATCTTCCGGAAAAACTCGAGGGGAAAAGATTTCTTCCCGTGGCACATTTGGGCGACCAGATCGATCCTGAAGTGGCGGAATGGGATGAGCAGGTACGAGTCATGGCAGAGCATGATGAGAAGATTCATCAAGAAGAAGAAGAGGAGGAAGTGTTGTTGAATCCGGACGGAGATTGAAATAAGAAGAAAACTTCCTTTTGGACACCTGTCTTCAAAGAAATGGAAGATTACATGTCACTATATATATATACATGTAGTGCCGAGTCTTCTACTGTCAATGGCTTGGAGAACGAACAAGGCAAGGGAAGGACAGAAGCATTATATCACAAGCTTCCTCCGGCTTGTACGTATCAAGTGCTTACCGGCGTTGATCCATCATCATCCCTTGATGGGGTAGCTTCAACGAACAGCGGCGCAAGCCATCATCGAGAAAGGCGCCCTTTTCCTTCAATCGTCCCTCCTTTCCATGCCAGTCGATTTCCTGCTGATGCTCTGCCTCCTCCTTCCTAGCAAAGGACAAGGACCCATCTACCAAACCACTGCACATCAAGGAGGCGTTTTTACTGGTCATGAGACCACCATCGCTCTGCAGTCGATCCACGGATTCACTTCCAATCAAAAGGGGCCAAAAGGCAACGGAGCAATGACAAGTCCGCAAAAATCTGCAAAGAGTACCAGCAATAGGTATGTTAAGCAGCTTGTTCTCGGTCTATCATCTAGGGTATCCACATTATCTATCATAGGTCATGCCAGTCACCGCCACCACAGGTCTGCAAAATAGACAAAACTTTTGTTCCCCGCGCATTCATGCATATCAGGTCTCGCTCAGTACGTGTGACGGGCCACCATTGTGCAGCTCGTGGCGACCCGGGTGATCTTTTCGGACAAGTAGCCTCTCGTTGGAGGAGCAAGCTACTCAGACTCCATGCCAAACTTGCTCGCGTCGTCGTAGAGGTCGATTATGCAACTAGCTGACCAAGCTTGAGTCGGGCACTGGCAACACATGTTAGCACTGGTTCTCCAACGATGAAAAATCATCTCAACTTACCGAGTCACCGCAGAAAGAACCGTTGCGGTTGGTGAGTTCTGTGAGTCCTCTCCATGGGGTATTGTGGATCATCTCTTTGCATCCCTTGAGGCGTTGGGTCACTTGCTGGAACGCCTCCACGCGTTCCTCCTTCGTATGGCGACGCTTCAAGTCAAAGTACAACAGAGCGCGAAGGAAGAACCCAGTAGGCCACAACCACTCAGGCCCTTGGTGATAGTTGCGTCCATGGGCGGTCTGGTAATTGTTGCTGTCGTCGGAATTGATGTAGTCAGGATGGTACTCCATGTCACTTGGGTCGAGAGTAGCCATTCCGGTGGGGCCACGAAGGTTCTTGTCGGCGATCTCCAGTGCGCCCAGAGCGTGAGCAGGATCGAACAGATCGGGCGCAACAACCATTGCAATGGGAAAGTTGGGACGCAGCTGATACTGCCTGTACTCCTTGACTCCTCGGTGTACGTCCTTGTAGATGCCCTTGCGGTTGACGATCTTTGGGTTAATGTCGTAGTTATCCCACTCCGACTGATCGGTCGGAATGTAGTATGCGTGCTCGAAGTTCTTCTGAATGAGTGCGGCCCATTCGCCGTAGGTGATGTGCGTGCCATCGGCCTTCTTCACGCCATCAAACTTGAACTTGCCGGCTTGTCGCAGGCAATCCACCCAGTGTAGCGCGCTGTACAGCAGACCGGTTATCTCCACTGGTGCACCATCACGAGAAGTGCCAGGATGTCCCTTGTTTCCGGCCTTGACCGAGTCGCCCATCTTGTCCATCCAGGTACCACAGTTCCATTCGTTACCGCCATAGATGATGCCATTCGACCAGTCGGGTTCGATGTCGATATTGAAGCCCTCAGACTTCATTTGGCTGTCGAGGTCCGGTCCAGCATTATACTCGCGGAAATGCATGCCTGCAGCGTGGCGCTGCAAGATTTCTTGAATGATTTCCTCGAATGTGCTGTGCTTGGAGTATGCTCTTGAATCAGTCCAGGCAAACCATGTGTCATCATATGGCAGGAAACGGCGTCGCACGCTCTCCTGAAGAAGGCTGCTGCCCCCCGGAGCCATCGAGATGTAGTCCTGAATGTTCTGCAGGTAGAACCATACAGAGTCGCGACTGTTGAAACGTGGGAGCGTGCCGGAGTTGTGCAAATTGGGAATCATGCCATGCTTGACCAAGCTGCCAAAAGAGTGCAGGTGCTCTTTAGCTTCATCATAACGGCCAGTACAGGTGAGCAAGCCACGCATGGCAATCATGGTATCGCGACCCCAGACACGAGCCCATTCTTGTGCAAAGTGCGGCAGACCGGCGGCCAGAGATGGATCGAGCTTGTCAGGCCAGAGCTTGGCGTTGTCCATGTAACCTTGAACTTGGCATGAAACCATGGCGAGGGACTTGAGGAAACGCTGCCCGTTGCGAACATTCGGGTGCATCTGTTCGATAGCGCGCTCGTTGGCAGCCTTCTTTGCAGTGCGGATTACCAATGCGAAGCAACGAGGCAGTAGGAAGCTGGGCACGTTTCGGATAGCATCAAAACGTGACTTGAGCCACTCAGCAACGGGAGTAAGGTTTCTGTAGATGCCATCCTTGCGCTGGGCAAGTTTCTCGAGTCGTTCCACAATGTAGTCCAAAGCCCATTGACCATCCCGAAGGTGATTGCAGATTGGGTGGCCAAGGTCATTGTTGGCAATCACATCTCGCAGGACAGAGTACCATCCTTGCAGACCGCAGTATACGAGGCTACCGTGTCCTGGAATCGCGTACACACCGTCTGCGCCCTTGGACAAGGCACGCTCTTCAGAGTCAGCGCGGTACATAATGGCATTGATGTCGTTCAGGTCAACATTGGCAAAGGCTTGCCGAGCACCAGAAGTGAGGTACTTGTCGAGGCCCTCGCTGTGTTCAGCACCGGGTATCCAGGTCTCACAGATTGCAATCGATCCAGGTGGGAAGTCACTTGGAACGGTGATAACAGTATCGTCACCGCGAGACTCAACTGTGACGCCACGAATGTCCTTGGTCTTGCTGGGAATACCACGCAGAACCTTGTCTTTGAGTGCTGCTTGCTTGGCCTCCCAGCTTTGGTCGACTTCTAGCTTCCATGCGCCCAACAGCTTGGCCTTGGTCCCAGTGAGAGTCTGCTTTCCGAATCCCGCATTGCCATTGCCATAGCCGGGAAACGCAGTGTGCGCGATCAAGTAGTAGCCTTTTCGGGACTTGGGATGAATACGGTGCACTGTGATGTACTCGCCATCGTGATGGACGAACGTCTCATCGTATCCGTCTTTGCCCATGATGACATGAAGTTGGTTCATGAGGCGTTTGATGCCACCGGTGCCTTCGCTGGGCCCAATCTTCATGCTCTGACCCTCTTTCAGGTTGCTGTATGGAGACGTATACTGACGCTTCTCATGCACGAGTTCGATCAGCGCAGGGTACAGCTCATCCATTCCAAACACCGAGCCCGATGCAGAGGCACACATGGCCACGAGAGCCGAGTTGGGCAGTGTGTCACGGCCGTCGCGGCGCTGCACAGGGGTCTCGTTGTCGTGTGTACAGTCCATGAGCAAAGCATGAATCTTGGAGGGCACAATCTTGTGCATGATGGTCTTGCCATGAGGGGCGCTGCCATTAGTCGCGCTGCCATTGGGCATTGGCGTGTCTGCGCTAGAGATGTCGTCAACCTCAAAAGACCCAATAGGTCGGCCGCAGTTGATGTGCACCAGTTTCGACATTTCCGCAGTGGACCAGACCTGCATAGCTTCTCGAATCAGGAAACTGATGCCCAGTTTCTTGCAGTAGAGAAAGTCCATCTTCTCGTCACCGCTGAACAGCTCTGCGGCAACCACCAGATTGGGCTGCACGCGACGAGCAGCGTCAAGCATGGCGGATGCAACATGCAGAGGCGTCGAGTGACAGTTGTCGATACGGAAACCGTGGAAGTGCTTGGCCATGAGCTGGGTGTACTCGGTCATGAATTTCCATAAGAAGGGACTGTCGCTGGGACCAGAGCCCCAGCGAAGCTTGACGCAATCTCCCCAAACGATCAACTCGCGGCGCAGGTACACCTTGGACTTCGCTCCTGCGTTGTCTTTCATGACATCGGCCGCCCAGACCCAGCCGTTGTTCGCCAACGCCAGCGAGTCTGGATCATGCTGCTTCGTGGTCTCGTTCCAGGGCAGCCTCGTGAAGTACGACTCGATGAGTGGGCTCTCAATGGTGATGTCGCCAAACTTGGGCCCGTTCTCGTCCAGGCGCACATACTTGGTGCGGTTGAAGATCTGCTCCAGCTGAGCCTGCTTGTCGTCGTCGTGCTCCTTGTACCAGTCGACATTCAGGTCATTGAGGAAATGTAGGATAGTGCCATATGCGGTACGCTCGTCAGCCGCATTGTTCTGGTGCTGATCATACTTGCCAAACAGGGCGGTCAAGAAAGCAGCACCTTTTCCTGGTGCTACGTTTCGGCGGAAACGTTCACCCATACGGTCAGTGCCAGGGCATGCATGCTGGCGAATCCACTCCACCTTTTCCGCAGAAGACCAAGACTTCACGTCCTCGGGCACGTTGACGCTGGTGTCCACTTGACCTTCCATCCAGGCCGAAGTGACGGCCTTTGCATTGTTGGTCGCATCACAAATGTAAAACTCCCAAAGCTTCAGTGGGCCAAAGACGTGAGTCTTGATTCCCTCCATGATCTTCACGAGATCTCCCTCGTTACTCAGGTGCGTTGGCATACCGAGAGAGTGCAGCCGCGAGGAGTAGTCCAGCAAGGCAGAATCGAGCTCATAGGCAGGCCGGAGATGCGGCGCTGTATTGATATTATAGCCCGATTCTGGGTGCTCTTCCAGCCATTTGCTGTTGTTTGCGGTGTGGTTCCAGACGACGTCCGTCAGACTAAGAAGGCCGTACTCGTGTTCCATCTTTTGCACCAGGTCAGCCACATCCTTCTCGCCGCAAGGGAAGATAGCCTTGTCGAAAGTGTGCTGGTCGTAGATCGAGTACGGTGAATTACTGTCACCACGCTGCATGAGAGGCGTGAAATGCACCATGTTGTAGCCTCTCTCGCTAATACCGTGCAAATGGCGGTAGAAGTCATCTGGATACTTGCCCATGAACTTGGACAGCACAGAGATGATGGAGATGGCGTCCAGAGGAAGCGGCGAGTTGTCTACGTGGAGGGAGGGCGAGACATCGATGTAGTGCGATTCTGTGCGCGTTGGCTTTGGCGTCTCGACCTTGGCAGTGGTGAAGGGAGGAAGAGGCGTGTATGAGCAGTAGAACTCGAAAGCTCCAGCAACGTAGACAGGCACATCGATCTGGATGGACTCGGTGAAGCTGGGATTGAGCCTGGCAGAATCATCAGCGACGCTCATGTATGTATAGCTAGTTGCAGCAAGCTCACTTGTACTCGTGGAACTTGGTACGGTCGAAGTCATGGCCCTTGGGTGGAATGTTGACCCAGAGGCTTCCTTCTCTACATATTGAGCTCGTTCCTTCAATCTGAAAGCGGATGCTGTATGCAGGTTTTGTGGGAGGCGCAAGGTAAATGTATGGCTGCGAGCCTGGCAAATCTGGAGAGCCATCGTCCTTGAGTGGCAGCAGATAGACTGTGTGGTTACTGATCTGCTGAGGGGACATGTCGGGCAGAGTATAGCCTTTTCTGTGTCAACAACAACTCTTCCTGCTGCGAGCCCAATGCTGCTGGTCTTGTCAATGCAGCGCTGAAAGGTCTTGTGGGCGAGAGTGGCAGGAAGGGTAGGTGAAAGATGATGATTCGGGAGGTATGTAGGTCTACTGTAGCTGACTGAGGTCGAATAGTGGGAATGCTATGGCGGCGAGCAGATGCAGTCGTCAGAGTCGTGTAATCGTAAGAAGCTTTCAATGAGTGTCAATGTGGGTGTGGTGTACGATGCCTCGTGAGGACTGTTGTGGTAGATGTGGGTAGATGTGGTGGTAGAAGAGGTGGTAGAGGTGGTGTGAGTGTGTAGACGAGTGTGGATGAAGGAGAGAGATGAGAAAGAAGGCAGAGCAGATCGATCATCTAGAAGCATCTGTTTACTGTAGGTACCGACCGACCTTTCCTCTTTCAAGCCTCTCGAGACGCCAGAAGAAGGGAAAGAAGCAGGCAGGCAGGAAGCTTGGTGTGCGAGAGGAAGCTACTACGGTATGGTTGAGGCTCTTGGAAGGACCATGAAGACTCCACCCTACCGAGTGTCGTAGTGTACCTGAGCAGGCTGAGTGAGACTGCCTGCCGCGGAACCTTCCCATCGTCGATCGCCGCCTGTTTAGTACTAGATGCCGCCGGTTTTGGCAGCTTTGACAGCCTCACACGTGATGCTCACAATGGCCTTGATCCAATGTGCGATGCGGCGCGATGCAGCATGAGGGAAGCGGTGTGTGTGCTTAGAGAGGAACGCGCATGATTGTCTGTAGACTTGCGCAGTGGGCGCGTCAAGTACATCTCCGGCCGAGTCGAGATTCTCGTGTCGCGCTCCCAACACAAAATGCTGGCCGACGCCATGCTTCTTGCGGAGAGAGAGCATGGACCTCCACATGCCCTCCTCCCGTCTCCACAATGGCCGGCCGCCTTATCGATAAACTAAGGCTTCGCTCGCAGAAGCCAGGTCCGGTTCGAGCTGTGAGAGACATTCATTGTCCATTCGTACCCGTCCCATCGCATCCTCAACATCCATCTCGCATACAGTACTTCGCACTTTCTCTACACCACCAATGTAGACTCTCTAGCCATCCATCCCCTACTTCTATGGCAATCTGCCCCACCTCCAGCGCAACAGCCTCATCTTCCCGCAGACACGTCGGACGATACCTTCCTTACCTTCGCTATACAGAAGAAGAAGCAGTTACGAAACACGCGATTGAGCAACTTCATGTCCCTCACACGATGAGATAAGGTAGGTAGGTAGGTGTTGATTGGACTAGTAGGTACCTTGGAGGTAGTAGGACGAGCAGTCAACCAAGAAAGAGCCAGCAGAGTCGAGCAAAGAAAGAATAAAGAGTACGAAAGGAAGTATGTACATACCTTATGTAGGTAGTATGGTACAACAAAAGGCGCAGACAGGCAACTCACTTCTCCGGCCCGGAGGAGGGGGAACACAACCTGCGCGACCGAATTTTCTTTCAACTGGCTGGACGGAAAGAGTCGCACAACTAACGGGCGTCGCTCAGATGCCGAGTTGGAATGTAACACATAACGAGTTGCACGCGTGCATGTAGGACCGGTAGGTGAACTGGTACAACCAACAGGTACCTTACAACAACAAGTACCTGTATTTTGTGTAACACATGACTTTCTAGCATCGTTTGGATTAATTAAGGTCAATGACTCCTGCGTCGAGGATCCTGCGACTTTTCTTCTTCTTCTTTTTCTTCTTTTGCTTCTTCTGCTTCTTCTGCTTCTTTCTCTTCTTCTTGTTGTACAAACACATCAGCCGAGCCGCGTGAATTCTCGTTCCAAAAAAATGCAACGCTGCCCTGATTACAAATGATGAAAGAAACAGAGGAGGATATCTCGTGATGCTGCGCCGCCGCCATGCTAGGTAGTACCCAAATTCCCAAGATAAATCATCATTCCATTCGTACCTGACCCGCGCGCCGTCTATGGGATCGGCTCGGTGCCGTATTAATTAATTCTGTTTCCTCGGGGGTAAAAAAACCTTTCTGTCGATTCTCGCTACGCCAGTTCTGGAATCTGGCTGATGCGTCTATGTGAATGGACACTGGAAGTGAGGCTGGATACGGAGCTTCGAGCTTCCATGGAGTGCTGTTTGTTCATCATGTGTCTCATGCTCATCGATGCTCGCGGCGTCGCTGGCGCCGTGGGTTCGTGCATCCATTGCGACACCTCGCTGGCATTAGTCGAAGGACGCGAGACGTCCTCTTGTTTCTGAGGGTGGAATGTGTAGTCGTTTACGTATCGTGCTAGTTTCCGTAATGGTATTTGCTGTGTAGGCCTCACAGCAGCTGATTCTGTCATGTCTGTTGGTACTTCCTTTCCTAAGAAGACGTTGTGGCCGATGACGAATCCAAACCAGTCCGGTTCGCTCAACAGGTGGACGCATTGCACTCTCATCTCGCCCACAGCAAAGACCTGGCCATCATGGAAGGAGTCGAACCGTGCTGACCACCCGGCGTCTTGCACTCCATATGCCCTGGCAAACATTCGTTGCACGCCTGCAATAGCCTTGCCAGTGCAGATTCGTGGCATCTGGCCGTGTCTGTCACGTAATTGCGTCCGGAGATACCACGCCGATGTAGGGTGTTCTTGCACCGAGTGTGTCTCCAGTATGCGCACCACATGGTACTGATGTTGTCGTACCAGATAGAGAAGATGGTCGGCCGCAGTCGTGTCAATTCCAGGAGCATATGGATTCCGATCGAGCACAGGATCAATAATGATGGCATCTTTCGTCGTTGGATCTGCGATCAGATATTGCCACCGGGCGGTGGAGTGTTCGAACAGAGCGTGGACGACGGGTTCAATGTCTTCACGCATCACTTGCACGCCTTCCATGCTGTGATGAAAGTTGGTGTCGTGTGGAGTCACTTTTGAATCGGAGTGGTTGTGAAAGTGCTGCTGCCAGGTCTGGTCATTGGACGTGGCGGTGCCGGGAACTGGAGGGGAAAAGAACGAAGGAGTTTCGGGAAGCGTTTTCTTGCGACTTCTCGATAGTTTGGATACGAAGCTGCGCAGGGAAGAGAGGTCGAGGGTGTAACGTGTAGAAGACGGGGTCAGAGGTTGAGGAGATTGCGTGTGCGACCAAGAAGCGCGCGGTCCAGCAGTGTCGGCTTCAGTGGTGAGTGGGAGAGGCGAGTAGTTGGCAGCAGGGCCAGGCCCAGCGCCCGCCCATGTCCGTCTCCACGAGGCGCGTTTGTTGTTGTACCGTGCAGATGGCGCGTCCATCATCTTCAATCCTGGGCTGCAGCAGGCGTGCAGTCTCGGCAGCAAGCAAACAGAGGACAAGACCTGCGACAGACTGCACGAGCGAGCGAGCGAGCGGGCAAGAGGGCATTCTTGACGTCGCCGACTCGGGCTGCTCGCTACTCGCTACATACTCCTGTAAGGTACTATTGGGGTCCGCATCTCAGCCCCCAAAAGCCACCCGACTTCCCAGGTAGAGATCTGCGACACATTCTGCTACCACACTGCAGATATCCGAGCATATTTACCAGTGTATACTACTGTCCAGTCGCACTGCCCCGTGCCCCCAGAAATATAGGGCGAGCAGTAGGAGGTAGTCCTCTCGATTCTATGCAGGATATAAAACAGCCTCTTCGGGAAAGGTAGCCGCCCCATTGTATCATGTCATTACGCCGAGTCTAAAGTGCACTTAGCTGTATGTACATGGAGGAGGTAGTGCAGCTCCCACTTTCGTCTAGAGGCGGCTGCCAATCTGAGTCAGAATCCAAATAACAATATACGTTGTAAAACACTTTGAAGATCCTCCCGTCACCGTGTCACGCAATCTGTCGATGAGAGTCGTAACCACTACCAGTATGTGAACTTTGATTCGAAGCTTACCTTACGCCTTGAGGTAGGAGGTACATGTTGGTAGACTTGGCGGCCAATGGATGTTATGGGAAAGCCATAGCGCTATCATCATTGGTTCGGGATAACTCTAGCAGATGAAGTCGAGTCTGTAACCCAACTCGGCACGCCTTCAAGGTACAGGTACTACCTATGGCACATAAATGCGCCCGGGCACTTTCTGTGTTTTTTCCATTTTTTCTTTTCTTTTTGGAGAAAATGTATTGCGATTTCTCTCACTATGTACCTAATAACAATTCATCACTCATCATTACCACATAGGTATTGAACCCAGAATCTTCCAAACGCTGTCTCGCTGAATGCCTCAACTCCAGTTTCCAATACAACATGCAGCGGTTAGAAAAACCCCTCCAAAAAAAAAACGTTGTGTCTTACCCATTGTCCCCACTCAGACAGACATGTCTCCGATGCTTTCAACAATACACCGGAATCGGGGCCAAATTCTTCCATGTGCCGTCCTTTTTTTTTTCTGTTCGAGGTTTCAGATCGTTGCAGATAGTCTAACGGCAGCGCCGTTGTGCAAAATGGTATAAGGTACCTTCATGCTCGATTTTGATCGCCGGTTATCGGCAGGCCCTTTGGCGCTGGGAAGATGCTGCTTTTCGTCCCCGACGGAATCCTACCCTGATACCATTACTCCAACATTCGAGATGTCAACCACCCGCTAGTGCACGGTAGATACCAGGCTGTATATCGTCTGTGTCGGACGCTCCATCTTTGAAGTATGTCTAGACGAGGCCTCTCGACTTGTAGGTTCATGTAATGAGATTGCGGCGTGGAATGCGAGGTCGCAAACGAGCCTCGGAGTGTCAGTGCAGAGTATATGCATTCCGTATTTTTGACTGCAGGTTGTGTAGAAGAGAGAGAGAGTGTGTGCGTGTGGGGTGTCAGAGAGGATCCTTCGTACCTTTTTCGCGGGCAAGTATGACCACACTCACTCCTCTGGGTACATGTAATAAATCATCACAAGTGACCCTCTTTCACAAGAGTACATACATGCATCTAAACATCGTCGCCTACAGAATCTCACTCGGCAAAACATACACCCAATTCTTATCCGCCGTAACCTCTCTCCCATTTTCCCTCTGACCCTTCGTATTCTCCACAATCATCGACTGGATCTCCTCCCAATTACTGCTACTCTTATTCACCCACAAATGCACCCCTCCTTTCGCCACATCCACCCCATGAAACAACATATACCCATCACTCCCAGGCGTATCACCCGCGACCAAGACAGGAAGTTTCCACTGATCAATATACGTCAAAATCGCCGCCCATTTCCCCGAAAACCACGTCGCAGGAGTATAGAGATAAGGTTCCAATACGAGATCAAGATTCGCCGTCTCATTGTATTTGCCCTCTTCAATTTGTTTTCTCGCCGTCGTAACCGACTCATCTGTGCGATTTCGCAATAATGTCGTCACGCCAATGACATTTTCCGGTTTGAGATTATATCCATATTTGGGATCGGACGCTACCATGCGCACCAATTCTTCGTGCGCGGCTGTCATTACATAGACTTCGATGCCATGCTGCTGCAACGCATTGTACAATTCGACTTGGCCGCGGAAAATTTTGGGAGGCGAAACGGTGTCGTGTACGAGTGTGAGGCCGTCTTCGTCTTCGTCGTCGAAATAGGTTACGGGGATGGTGGTGTTGAGGGCGAGGAGTTCGTCGACCCAGATTTTGAGCTGTCGGAGCGTATATCCGGACCAGATTTGGGCGGCCCAGGGATAGCAGATCATGTCGTCGATTGCGCAGAGACGGTAGTAGTAACTGAAGAGGGATTCGGTGAAATTGGCAGTGGAATTGTCGTGGAAGGGGATGAGTTTGAGGGTGGGATCCATGGTGTCGCGGGTGAGGATTCCGCGGTTCTCGAGATAGGGAAGGAGGGATTCTTCGAGGTCGAATTGGTATGATGTGTTGTCCATGTCGAAGACGGCGTAATTGCTGCTGTTGGCGTTGGCGAGGATCATTTTGCGGAGTTGAGTGGCTGCGGCAGGGGGCCAATGGGTGAAGGCGAGGTCATTTGGAGGCATGTTGGGATAGGTTGGTGGTACGGCTGCTGAGGCCGTGGCAGCGAAGGCTGCTAGGACTTGGAAAGAGGGCTTCATGTTGAGCTCTTGTTTCCGTCAAAAAATGTCTGTGGTATTGAGGCGAGGGAGAAAAAAGTTGACGGGACACAGCTTAGCTCTTGTATAGTCTTCGCAGTATCACTCTTCTATCCGAGGAAGAATGATTTCTCCTTGCAAAGGGAAAATTCGGCAATCCCGAGCTCAAGTGAGACAAGTCTATGATGCCTGGTTGGTGTGTAGAGGCGAGATTGCTTCGTGCGAACGTGCATATCGAGCAGAGCAAAATGGGTCAGTCCTATCAGATGAAGTCAGAGTCTACACTACGCCGGCTTTAGTGATGTTAGCTTCTTCCCATCCAGATAAGTCGTCCTTGGCAGCGTGGCCGTCCCCGATAGGGTTCAGAAAAAGCTGACGCCGTCAATAGCCGAATCTTTAGGGCTATCTTTTATCTGCGTCGAGTAAAACCTAAACGCCGAAACGACGTGAGTACAGTAATTGCCACACCTGAATCTTGGAAAGAAAAACCCCCTTAACGCCTGTATCCTGTTACAAGCTCACCGTCTTCCTCATGTCCTTCTATTGCCTAAGCAATGAGAACTTGAGAACAATGAGGCGCTGCCAAGTAACTCCCTCCAGCTTGCGGTCTGTCCTTGATCTTATCTGCTATATCGCATTAGCAAACGGATGATTTCGCACGATTTTGAGAGAAGACTCACTTGCGTGTTTCCCAGTTCATATGACTGTCAATCACGGCCCTGTGCTCTAGCGCTGCGTGACCTCGTCCATCTCACAGCCTGTGATTGTGCAAATCATCACATCGGATTGCCTGGTCGGTTTCTGCCTTCTCGCGTTCATGTCAGCTTCGCCTTCTTGGCCTTGGTCCCAGTCAAGGATACTGCCTCCCGCTTGCGGACCACTGCCTTCTTCTTCTCCTTCTTTGGTTGCAACATCTCCTTACCCAGTACGCTAGTGACCGTAGGACAATCTCCATGGAATCTTACAGCCTTCAGACCACGGACTCTGCGCAACTGTGGGAAGCCGGGCAGAAGAAAACCTGATAGGCCAACATAACCATTGCCCTCGGTGCTGAAAGATGGTTCATGGATCCAGATGTCCAGCTCCTTGAGACGTGGAAGTGTGGCGAGTAACTTGAATGCCTTTGTAGCCATTGGCTTGCACCGCTTGGTGATGGAGAAGGTGATATGGCGAAGGTGGTGTAGGCAATGCTCTCGTAGCTTCGAGAGCAGTCGGTACAGGTCCTGGACGTCCTCGCACACGAAGAGATTGCCGCCATAAAACACTGGCATGGCTTCCTTGTAAACGGCCTTACTGACAGCAAACAGTGCCAAGTGGACCGCTGGAGCAGGGCATTTCAATCGACTAGGCAAGCGAGCGCCCCGATCAGGCCCGTAAGCCGACACTCTGGTTGGAGGTCGGTTGTAGTCCCTGGAAAACGCATGTAGGCCGGCAAAGCCCCCGGGACCTTTGTGCGACACTTGCACACCTGATTTTGGCAAGAGAAGGGCATACTCATAAATGCGAAGCCTGAGTTCCGCGGGGAGATCCATCAAGCGAAACGGTGAACGAGAATCAGACTCTCCGAGTAGACAAGGGCGTAAGAATTGGCTGACTGTAGCGGCAGGGCCAGCTGCCCAGCGACCGGACGAAAAGACCTCATAAGTGACTTCTTCGTCTTCACGCGGGCCCTGGAATTTAGGACGAAAAATTGGCAAGTCCAGGTCGCTAAAAGCTGAAGCGAAATCTAGGTGAACGTTTGCTGCACGCCGCATGTCTCGCTCTCCGCCGTACCCGCTTTCGTACATCATAGCGAGGTTGCGATAATAGCCAAAATTCTGCATGATCCAGTAATGAAGGCCAGGTACACCTCTGTTCCAACTAGAGCATACAATGCCCATGACGATCATCTCAGGGAAGGAGAATGGCGGCAGCACTTCTGTATAATTCTTGTAGGGCGCAATTCTCTTGCGAACCCGGCGCTCCAGGTCCTTCTTCTGATCCAGCTCGGAGCGGATCGCCGGCACACGTCTTGCCAGGGCGCCCTGATTTGATCGTAGGAGATTCTTGACTTGCATCGCCGGGGATGACAGGGCGCCAGTCAGCTCACGCCGCGATACCGGAGGGAAGAGTCTCTGGGGCATAGCAGGGGATGGACGTGATGTCTCCGTATCTTGAGCAGACTGCGTGGCGCGAGGCAACATTGCTGGTACAGATGACCCTGGGACTGCAGATGATTCCATGTCAGTCACGATCGTGGTTCAGGATCGGGAAACTTAGAGGCGCCTCTTCAGCAGTTGAGCTGGAGGCAGGTGGTCTGTGGCTTTGCGGCTGTTTGGGAGCTGGCGCCAAGAGACTTGATGTTGCTGGAGGTTAGAAGCGAGGACAGTCCGCCTCGAAGCCCAGCAGACTCAATTCCGTACTGGTGGTGGTGCTGGTTTGCGGACGCAGGTTTTCCGAGGCACGGCGAAGAAGTTATAGCATGCTTGCTAGCTAAGTTGAGCTCGGTGTGAGGGTTTTCTGTCATTCTGCTTCACTCAAAATACGGTGAGTGTGTGAATGGGTCATTTCCCGGTCGTGCTGCTGTATTCACCACCATGGCTCCTTCTTGGACTGTGAATACGAAGTTTGAAGCGACCACGCCATCGCGCATCTGGCCGTGTGCATAACGTGCTGTTTGTTTATCATTTGTCGAGCAGCTTGCCTTGGACGCGCACAACGCGCGAGTGGCGAAGGGGAGCAGCAGATGAAATCGGGAATTGCTGGGAAATACATGTTACAACTACCTGTACCCAATAACTGGCAACATATCGCGACAACGGCGGCGTCCATGTCCGTCACGTCCTTCATGCAATATCTCGCGCGGCAGTGTACATGTGTAGCTAGCGCATACTGTATGCACCTTGTCGTGAGTGAAGCGAGGTGAAGTTGAGGGATGGAGGGAAGGCAGCATAAATGGCTGGGGCTTGGCGCTCATGATGACTGATGCACCAATGACCGCATCTCAGCCCACCAAAACCATCTGGGATATGAATTACCTGTACATTACATTTACCTGTAGACGTCTTCACTCTTTGTGACCAACTTCACTCTGGCTGTTGCTTCAATTGTCTGCTCTTGTCACACACAGACCCTTTTAGCATTGTCCCCAATTCGCCAGCCAGCAAAGTCCAGGGTCACCGTTTAAGCAGGGATTATCCATTCACACAGACTCAAGCAATGGCCGAGACTACATCGACGACAGCACCAGCGACGAGCGGCGGAGAAAGCCAGGGCAGAGGAGGGCGTGGTGGAGGCCGGGGGCGAGGTGGCCAAAGAGGTGGCGCAAACCGAGGTGCTTCTGCAGAGCATCACAATGGCGCACCCAACGACCGCGGCGCTGATCGGACAAGGGCTGATGGTGGTGGTAATCGAGGACGTGGAAGAGGCAGAGGTCGAGGGGGAGGAGGAGGTCGAGGTGGAAGAGGAGACTCCAATCATAACAATCGCGACAGAGCATTCAGCAGCGCCCAACAGAATACAACAGCAGTACAACCGAGTCCGGAACCTGGCGGAACGGGCGTCTTTGGTGCTCGCCTGACCAAAGACGCCGCCCACAATATCCAAGGCGAGGGAGCAGGTGCGCAAGTGGAGGACGGCGACGACGTTGAGGCGGAAGTGTGCTTCATCTGCGCATCTCCCGTCTCGCACAATAGCGTCGCACCTTGTAACCACCGCACCTGCCACATTTGCGCCCTTCGACTGCGCGCACTGTACAAGACGAAAGCTTGTGCGCATTGCAGAACGGAGGCTACAAATGTGATTTTCACTGATGATGCAGAGAAGAGGTACGAGGACTTCGTAGAAAGAGATTTTCACAGAGTCGACAAGAATCTTGGTATCAGCTACGAAAAGCACGAGATCTTCGAGGACACTGTGCTACTGTTGAGATACAACTGTCCGGATCAGGATTGCTATGAGGCATGCTTGGGCTGGCCAGATCTGCATCGCCACGTCCGTAACACCCACCAAAAGGTGATGTGTGATTTGTGTACCAGGAATAAGAAAGTCTTCACACACGAGCACGAGCTGTTCACTCATGCAGAATTGAAACGACACGAGAAATTTGGAGACGATCATCCAGGTGCTGTCGACCAGAGTGGATTCAAAGGTCATCCAGAATGTGGCTTCTGCCGGAGAAGGTTCTACGGCGATGATGAGCTCTTTTCGCATTGTCGTGAGGCTCACGAAAGATGTCACTTGTGCGATAGGCGCAACGGAGGTAATACACCCCAGTATTTCATGAATTACGATGCTCTGGAGAAGCATTTCAGCAAAGACCATTTTCCATGTCTGGACCAGGAGTGCCAGGAGAAGAAGTTCGTGGTGTTTGATTCTGAAATGGACCTGAAAGCCCATCAGCTTGAACAGCATCCCAATGGATTATCGAAAGATGCACGCAGGGTGGATCTCTCGGCATTCGATTATCGCCCACAGTACCAAGAGCCTACTCGAGGCAGAGGTGGCAGACGAGGAGGTCGCGGGCGTGACCCGAACGCAGAGCCTCTGCCAGCATCATCCGCCGGTAACCTGAGTCGTGCTGAGGTAGCGCATCAGCGCGAGCGTGAGATACACAGCGCACAGTCTGTTTCTGCTCGATCATTTGGAGGTCAACTGAGCGCACCCACCCCAGCGCAAGCTGCTTCACGGCCAGCGATCACACAACAAACAGCCACACAAGCAGCTCCGCAATCACCCCACCCGGCAGCACCACTCACGCCACAGGAGCAGGCGCGGCAACTGCGCCATGCTGCTGTCAACGAGCGTGCTTCAAATCTAGCCCGCAACGAGAAGGTGAAGATGGATGCGTTCCGTGAGCGGGTCTCATCATATACCCGGGGTGGCATCTCTCCGGGCGATCTGATCGACGCCTTGTTCTCAATATTCGATACCTCATCCAAGGAAATTGGCAAGCTCATCAACGAACTGGCAGATATTTTCGAAGTGCCTGGCAAGCGAGATAGCCTTCTCAAAGCGTGGGCGGACTGGAAGGCTGTGAATGAAGACTATCCGACATTACCAGGTCCGGCTGGCGCCAACACAACCGCTGCGGGAGTGCTTGGCAAGGGCGTAGGGGCTTCGCGTGTTCTGAAGCTGAAGAGCTCCACAGCCAAAAGCTCACAATCAGCAGTCGGTCGCCAAGCGTCATGGGGCTCAGCAAGTAGCACTCCTGCCGCTTCCTCAAGCAATCCATTCCCGTCACTTCCTCCACGGAACGGTGGACCATCGATTCAACTTGGTCGAGGAAGTGCCGCTCCAGCACCCACCCCTAGCTGGCTGGCCACTCGTCCCGCCACAGATTCAGCCGCACGATCGCCTGCAATGACCCCTTCCAGTTCTGCAAGAGCGTCTCCTGCTATCAATGCCAGACAGCAGCCCACGGGCACCAATACGAGAAGCGCCGAGCTGTTTCCTGCGTTGCCTGCAGCAAAGAAGCCCACGAGCACGGTATTCTCGCCTGGTTACACTGGACGAGGAATTCTTCGAACGAACTCGGGAAATCCTAGTGTCAATGCTTGGGCGGGAGGCAGTGGGACTTCTACTCCGGTGGTAGATGCGAACGCTGGGCAGAATGATGAGAGCGTGGCGAGAAAGGGCAAGAAGGGAAAGCAGATTGTGTTCAAGTGGGGATGAGGAAATAAATACCGTCCTCATCTGGACTTTTGCTCTGCTCTCGCTCAAAGTCCAGAAAGATTGGTATATTTCAATCACCATAAGCATCCATCATCACACAACATGAAAAAGTACTCGCAAGTGGTGGTCATAATTCATTTTTTTCTTGAAGGCTCCTAGAGATCATACAGACAAGAATACATACAAAAGTAGGTACGTGTACCTTAGAACTACAACGGCTCCAAAGCGCCCTGGCCCGAAATCCCCCACACATCAATAGGCTTAATAATGGGTTTGTAACCACCCAGCGCTTTCGCATCCACCCAATTCCCATGAATCTGCGCCTTCAAATGCAGCGGCAATTGTACAATTGCCACGGGCTTTTCAAATTCCCTGGTGTCCAAAACGACCAAATCGCAACGATTCGCCACGCGGCGTTCCACCAACGCAATCACAAAGCCATCTCCTTCCGGCGCATCCTCACTTCTCGGCACGAAAATGGGTTCTTGCACGCCCGAATCATCTCCGGCGTAAAACCATTTCGTCTCGCCCGTCTTGTTGCTGTGCTGGGCGATTCCGTTCAGACCTTGATAGACGTTTTTGGTGCCGTCGGATTTCTGCGGCATGAAGACGTTGAGCCATGTGAAGTCGTAGGCCGAAGTCATGAATCGCTCGTCGATGCGAGGGAACTCGGAAGGACAGTCAACAATGACTTCGGGGTCGGGAATGACGCTGCGATCGGGTTGTGTGGGGTCGATTTTCCAGCGTGCGAAATCCGCGCCTGCGTCGGGGGCGGGCATGCGGGGGTTGGGTCCGTCCGGGGGCAGGAAGGGGAAGGCGTTGTCGTGAACACGAGAACTCTCGACAAAGACGTTGCCTTCGGCGTCTTCCCAGGCTCCTGCGGTGTGGATTGCCATGCAGTTTTTCCACGAGTAGGAGCGGTATTCGTGAGGTTTCCAGCCTGGGGCTTTCGGGTTGGCGGCATCTCGTGGTATGAGGATGAATGTTATGCCTCGAGAGTAGTCCCAGGCCCAGTGGTGGCCACCGGCTTTCATCCGTTCGATGTTGGATTCGAAGGGCCAGATGAAGAGAATGAGCCAATTGGGGGTGATGGCGCAGTCATGGATGAAACCGGGTGTGTCGTGGGGGTCCTGAACCCAGAACTCGTTGTGAATCTTGCCGGCGCGGTCGATGGAGTAGGTGACAATGTCTCTGCTTCCTAGGCCCTTGGCTTCGTAGCCGAATACGACGAGTTCGTCTTTGTATGGGTCGAGTTTGGGGTGTGCTGTGAACGTCTTGGCTTTGACTTGCTTGAAAGGATCGTAGCATCTGGTCTGCAGGGTGATGGGGTCGACAGCATATGGCAAGCCGACTTCCTTGAGTGCTAGCAGATGGTCTGCCCAGAGCACGAGGTTGGTGTTGGCGGTCGAATCCACAGCAGCCCTGACGTACAATATTAGTCCCATGTCAAGCTCACGCGCGTGTCAAAGCGTGGAAGAAGAAAATACGAAGAACATACCGGACACAAGGATGATGAGTGTAAGGATTGCGGTAGAGACCGAACAATGCCTTGTTGGCACGACGCTCCAGCTTAAATCTCTCGGTTTCGATGTACTTGGTCTTCATATCCACTCGTCCATTGTGGAATTGGAAGACGGAAATGTTGCCATCGCCATCGAGTGGAATGTTATTGGGGTGAGGTGGAACGAAAGGATCGCACATGACTCGATAGAAGTTGCCTTCGATTTGCTTGGGGATTTCGCCGAGTACAACTAGATCTGCAACCTCGCCTTCCAGTCGACACGGTTGAGCACAGCCTGCGAGATCAGTTGCAATCGGCCATTTCGACTTGAGGCCGTGGTTGTAGTCGGAGACATCTGACATGGCAGTGGGCGGGGCAGGAGTCTCTGGCGGTGCGGCTACTTCAATTCTTTCGACGGCAACATCGGGCTTGAGGTCGACGATGGCAGCCGGTTGTGCTGGGAGCGTTGCGGTCACTGTCGCCATCTTGTGTAGGTGCCTAGGCGTATCTGCTGAGGGAAGATGACATGCCCCTACCTACTTTTATATCATTCCTCAACTGTCGCGAGTGGAACAATTCGATCCGTTCGTCTCACGGCACTTGTCGCTACATCCCAGATGCCCCGCACGCCTTCTCCATATTTCTTATACCGGCATCCCAGTCAGCGAATGAGATATGATGTATTGGAAGTGATACCCTGCCAGGAATGACTTCGGTATGTTCGGGAGACCACCACATGGTTTCGGGAAACCACCACATGGCATCGGAAAAATCCACATGTTCGGATTATTGCCACATTCGCAGCATAAGCCGCTGTCCTTCGATGGCAAGTTGATGCCATCCCCGCGGGCGTCGCCAGGGAGCCTGGTGGTATAGTTTGTCAAATTGTGGGGACCGTGTGGAGAGTTGCAAGGAGGTTTGGATGAAGTCGACCAGGTAAGGCATTTATATGAGTACAGTACCTAGGTAAGGTAGGTTGGTAAGAAGTGTGCCGACACTTCTGCCTTGATACCTATCTATCCTCGGTAGTCTTCGATACCTGATGACCTTCCATGACTGGCAATCTCACTCTAGAGTCACCACGCTGAAGAAATTGGCGTGCGTGAGATTGATGACAAAGGTGTTGTGAGATGACTTGGGTAGGTTCCCGTTACATACCTACTGGTAGGTACCTACCTGTAGACATGGCCAAGCAACGTGTGAGTCTTGGGAGAGTGTAGGTAGGCAGTAGGTACGAGCCAAGCTGCTAGGCACCTCAAGGCGAGGTATAAGTACGGGCTAGGTACTCTTCCCAATGAGTGTGTCACGTGACTTGGTAACGCCTTGATTTCCCCCGGGCCGTCCTCGCTTCCGTCGTTCCCAGACAATACCTCGGTACTTGGGTACCTCCTACCTCCGAGATGCTGAACAAGAAAGAGGAATGCAGGAACGATGCGATGCGTGTGCGACCTGAACTCCTAGCTGCCTGCCCTACGCGCACGAGGAAATGGCTGCGCGTGCTGCTCGTGCTCGTGGCCGTAAGTCCAGCTTCTTGCTGTTTGCTGTTTGCTACCTCTACTACCTCCTGTCATAGGTACCCCCCATACCTCCTACCTGACCTACCTGATCTTCCATCCAATTCCACCCTCCTTCCTCGCCTCCACCTCCGTGGCCTGTCCCGCTGATGATGACGATGAACAGGAAACGGCTCGCTGGCGGTCGTGTGCGACTTCTGCAGCCGGTCATACTCGCGCCGGTATGTCCCTCGTCGTCCAGCCTCATCCGTCAAGACTGCCACCCGACTGAGAACTTCCATTAATCATTCACCCCACCTGCAGTGATGCGTTGCGGCGACACCAACCAGTCTGCCCTGATCGAGGCTCACGTCCCGTGGATTCATCCGCACGGCCACGTGGACGTGCGCGCCACTCGTGTGATCGCGTGCGTCAAACTCGCTCCTTGAGCCTCCTCACACGTTTGATGCCCCTTCTGACCGTCTGGTGTGGGACAGTGTGTCGACAAAAAGTTGCATTGCGATGGCAGAAAACCATGTGGAACGTGTGTGGTGAAGTCCGCCATCTGCTCCAACATCACGAGCCGCGACGGGCCGTCGAGGAGTGCCTCCCAAGACCCAGAAGCGAGAGTGCAGCGGCACCGCTCAGAGTCGTTCCTTCTTCGTGATGAAGAGGAAGAGGTCTTCTCGGCCCGATTCAACTTTCCACGACCTCCAACGGCAGAACAAGCACTGCAAGAACACGAACACGAACACGCACACGCACACGCACACCACCGCGACCACGACCACGACCTCGGAAGCCCTTCTCTCGTGGACTTTGACTTCAATTTTCTGGACAATGTCTTCTACCCCGCCTTCTTCGCCTCTACATCCTGGTCGGGAGCTGCACCGGTGGCAGCAGAGGTGCTGTACAATGCCAGCGACACTACTGAATACGTAGCCGTGAATCTTGACGCATATGGTGTGTCCAGCCACCTTGAACGGCTGGCCGGAGTGCCTCGCGCCATCATGGACTCTGCACACGCCCGCAAATCATCACAGGCCATGAATTCCAATGCTCTCGCCAATCTGGAGCATATTTTCACTGCCAAAAACCTCGTCAGGCATGTCAATGACTACTTTCGATATTGGCACAGAAACTCTCGAGTGGTGCATCGGCCCTCGTTCACCCTCGGTCACGTGAGTGACCCTCTTCTGGTGGGAGTGGTCCTTTTGGGTGCAATGTACTCCTCGTCTCAAAACGAACGGAGAATGGCTGGATCAGTGATGCAGTATGCGGAAGAGTACATCTTCGAGCAGGTGCCAATAGTCCCACGCAATGAATGTATACGACACAACCAGCAAGATGAGAATACGCTCCAAAGCATACAAGCATGTCTATGCATGATTGTCATTCAGTTCTGGACTGGCAATGCACAATCTCAGCACCGAACCATGACTCTTCGCTTTGGCCAGGTGATTGAAGTGAGCGCCACGACCATGCTTCGGTGTAATATCGACTAACTCGTCCGCTCCACGCAGGCCTCCTATCACATAGACTTGCTGCGTACGACTCACACGCTCGAGGACAGAGTGAGTGAGCGCGCGTGGCTAGACGTCGAAACTCGAATTCGGTAAGCTGTGTTATCTGGCAATCAGTGACTTGCAGCTGACTGAGTCGATACGACAAGCGCCGCTACGTATCTTACTCTGCTGGATTGTGCTTTTCTGTTCTTTCGTGGCATACCCTTGCGAATACTGAGTCCCGAGATCGAATGTGATTTCCCCTGTGACGAAGCTGTATTTGATGCCGAACATCCTTTCACGTTACCTCAGTTCTGTTTCGAACGGACAATTGGGCCAAAACAGGCGTTCAAATGGCTTTTCAAGGCCAATACGGAACCCGGCGAAAAGCCACCAGATTTGACTATGCTGGACACCTTTATTCTTATTCATAGTACGTGACTAACTTTGAGTCTCTAGAGTTTCCATACTTACCACGAATCTGTGCTAGTGCTATATCGTTTCACCAACGATACGCTCACCTTGTGCACATGGGGCCCACGGTCTTCGAAGAACATTCTCGCCCGCTCGACGGACATACGACTCGCGCTCGACACTTGGCACAAGTGCTGGAAGTTGGGAAGAGATCGAGCTCAAGAGCAGGGAGTGTGGGATAACTTTGGTTTTTGGAAAAATGGCGACCAATACGAGACTGCTACTCGACTACTCCTATCTCAAGCTACGGAACCCAACATTGCCAGACTCCTCGCAAGTCATGTTGATCGATTGAATCTGCTGAAGCAGCTGACGATCCCAAGCGCCTAATCCGGCTCCTGACACCCATCGCAGCCGCCCTGAATCCTTTCTCAGGTGCCCAAGATCTGTCGCATCTTCTCTGAACCCCTCAGCTCAAATACTTGGCCGCAGACCTGGTGGAAGAATTTTCCGCGACGAATTGCTGGAGCGCTTACCAGTCCCCGATAGCTGGAACCATTCAAGACGCTAAGGGCCATGCAGCGGCACGAAGCAATGGTCTCGAGTACAGCATGGATGCGCTCATTACAGGTCATGCCTGGGGGCCTGTAAATACGTCCATCAATCTGCATTTCGCAAGTTCCGTACTTCTGGCACCGAACTATCTCCTCCCATATCGCCACAGCACGCTTCTCGAGCTCATGTGGCTTCCGTTTATCGGTACAGATTGCTGCGATTTCCGCATCGGCTGCCACCTCGTTTGTGAGCCACTGCTCCTTGTCAAGGCAGCCAGCTGGTGGCTGTGCCCTTGGCAGTGAGTAGATGGCATTCATGATGGTGACGATCCATACGTTTCGAATCTGAGACACGGCAGCAAGATCATCTCTCGCTGGAACGCTTTTGGGATTGCGCGTCACTGGGCCGGATCCAGAGTCGTTTGCTGGCACTTCTGCGATCTTGATATGAAACTGGTGTGTTTCTGGGTCGTACTTTCTTGGCTGAGTCTCCTGGACGGGAAGCCTTCCATCTTTGAGCCATATAAGGCCTGAGTCGCCTTCGCCAGACATCTTGTGAGTGTGCCTGGTAGTTTACATTAGACAGCAGATATCCCTCCTCACTACACTGAGTACGAAGAGCTCACAGCAAGCACATCACTCACTTGCGAAAGGCACAGGACAAAGGCAAAGCGTATCTATGGCTCTCAATTGGAGTCGTCTCGAGCTTTCACGTCGATCCTGGCTCGCATGAGCTATAAGTCCGTTTCGAGACAACACTTGACGAGCGACGCTTCCAAGACTTGAGAGGAAATGGTTGCTTCATCCGGCTGGTATACGACTTCACTATGGGATGTACACAGCGTAGCGAGCAGCAGCAGAAATTTCGATGCCTTTCTCCTGACTTTTAGTTGCACACAATGCTGAGCAGCTAACCTATCGGGTCAGAATTTACAGAGCTTTTCCGCCTCAAAAATCTGAGGATAATGATCATTGATACCTTACGCGGAATCCTCAACCAATCGACGATGACCGATGGAGCAAAAAGCAACCCTCAACATTGACCAGTCTCATTTTCATTTCATCTCAATTATGTAAAGATAAGGATCGCAGTCAATACACTAACCAAACAACGAGAGAAGGACCTGCGGTAGCAACGATATCATCGTCATCATTAGTTACGCACTCCAGCTCCTCCTCATACCAATATTCTCAATAATCCCACTCATCCTCGGACATCTCTTGACGACTTTCCCCGCCACTTTATACTGAATGGCAAACTCCGGTCCCGTTTCCTCTCCTGCTAGTTCCCCTACGGGTCCACTACACGTCGTGACGATTTTCACTTCATTGTCATCGTCATTGTCGTCGTTTTCGAGATCCTGATCCTCGAATTCTGCGACGGCGAAAGGGGAGATGATGGCACTGGCTCGCTTTACGGTTGCAGGTGTTGATGTTGTCGTCAAGGTCGTGGTCGTGGTGGCAGCAGGTATGATGGATGTATGTCGGCGACGTTGTGGTTGTTGATCCCAATCCGCAGGAATCCTCGGAGCCAAGTCGAGCACTTTACGAGCTTTGACTTCGTCGTGCGGAATTCCTACCAGGCAAGATCGGGGCCGGTAGTCGATTGCGTGGCTGCCGCTGCGTTGCGCAGCGGCGTTGCGACGTTTGCATGGGAATGGTTCGAGAGGATCGGGGTGTGCGTAGGAGGTGGTTTGGGTTGGGTAGTAGGTGGTGGGTGGTGGTGGTGGTGGTCCCCCGACACGACCACCACCACCAGTAGTGAGGTATGACTGGCTTCTTCGTTCGTAATCGGTGTAGGTTGAGCCGAGTCTACCTGTGGGGCCGGGATAGGAGTCTGGACGGTCGACACCGAGGAGTTTGCGAGCTTTATTGTTGGAGGTTGTTGTGCTGGTTTTGCGGTCGGAGGATTCTTCGTGTGTGGTTGTTGTTGTTGTTGATCGGCGATGCTCGTGGGAAGAAAGAGAGTAGTCCTGAAGAGACTCGTGCAGAGAATCATGTAGAGAGCTGACATCGGAGTGGTCAATATAGTATTGTCGTTGATTTTGTTGCCGAAGATGACAATCTTCTTCTTCTTCATCTTCTTGCTCCAACGATGAAATCATCGACGGCCTTCTCCCTTCTCCTCCTCCTCCTCCTTCCATCTCCAACTGCTCCGCTTCTCCCCCATATGCCCGATCACTCACGACCGAAACCTTTCTCGGACCCTGCACGACGGGAACGCCCCTCGACGGGCCCGGCTGCAATTCCACCTGCGTCACCGACCCCGAAGTAAACCTCTGAAGAGGCATCACCGAATCAATCTTTGCCAATTGATGCGCCAATTCATTCGTATCAATCCCTAGCAGTCGCAGCGCTTTGTCTGATGTTGTTGATGTTTGGCCAGATGCCCAGGAGGGCGTACGGGCGTGAATGCTGCTTCTTCTTAGGGGGCTTTTGGGGGGAAGGGAGGGGGAGAGGGATTTGGGGCGGTTTGCTGATGATTCTTCGGGATTGTTGGTGTTGGTGTTGGTGTGAGTGTGGGTTCTTCCGCCGGGAGAGGTCGTGTTGATGGTTATGATGTCGTTTGCTACGAGGATGGAGCCTCGTTCGATACTATTAGGGGGATCGTCGTTGTTGCCGTTGTCGGCGTCTTGTTGTTGTTCTTCTTCCTCTTCTTGGGTTTCTTCTTCTTCTTCTTCCTGGGGGGCCGTGGTGTTCTCTGGACTCTTTTGTCTATTGCGAGAAGTCTTTTTTCTTCTTCGATTTGCTCGTCGCGCTTGGATGGTGGATGTCGATGTCGAACCGGAATTATCTAATGAGCTCGTAGACTTGCAGTTTGGCGCCGTCTTCGAGCCCTAGCTGAGGCGTTAGGTCAGTTTTTCGCACAAAGAAACAAAAAAGAAAATGAAATAGAAAAAAACCAAATGAAATGTTTCTTGATGATATGGAAACTTACAGTATCTGGTGTCATGCTTCGGCTGACGTGTTTGCCCTTGTGGAAGAGCTCGAGCCTTTCGACGTCTTTCTCGGCTTGCTGGGCGTAGTTTTCGAGGACCCGCTGGATTGTATCGCCTCGCTTCGTGGTGAAATCTCCCGCAGATTCGAACCCCTTGAGAAATAATTTGATATCTTCGTTGGGTCTCATCGGCAACGTCGTCTGCTGCTGCTGCTGCTGCTCCGCTCGGTCTGCTCGATCGGTGCGTTCGGCAATCGTTGTGTTTTTGGTTCTCCTCGATGACTTGCGGTCCGGTTGTGCCTCTGCGCGATGTTTTCGCTGTCGTTCAGCTTGTTGCTCGTGGGCTTTTTCTAGCAACGGGAGGATGATCGAGTCCAGGTCTCTATGCCAGGGATATTCTACTTCGATCTGTGTCTGTCCCCAGGTGCCAATGGGCACGTCGAACTTGACTCGAGTGGTGTCGGTCATCTTTGCCTCGCTGTACAAGGACGACGCCTTGATAGAAGCACGAGACATTGCAAAGGTCGGTCGTAAAAGGTCGGGGGAGTGCCAATGGTAAGTACTTTAGAGTGAAACAATATGTGCGAGGGACTGTACGTTTGCGGAAATCTCCCTCAATGGAGGCTGCTGAAACGCTACCTTATAGCTCTCCCATGTGAGATCTGACATGGCCAGGAGCAAAGGCTTGTCCCATCCGTGTCACTTTTCACGGTGTCATTAATAAGCTTGTCATCATTTATGCCTTGCTCATCACTAGCATCATGGCATCGACCGCCGAGTTGGCACTACGGGTAAATGACGAAGCTATTGGTTGGTATGGCCCTCAGGATGAGGTTTGACTTCCCATTGAACCAGGTTTGTAAATATAGGAACCCGAGAGACAAGTCAAAGCGGGATTGAATACGGGCGTTGGCCTTCTTGCTCTTGGGAGTGTGCCAAGTGCGTGCGTTGTGAGCGTAGGCGCGCCATGAAAGATGAAACAGCAGACGCGTCTTCGGAGAGACCGTTGGCGGAGAACAGGTGAATGGAATTCTGAGGGACGTCTTGGCCTGCACAGGACGAAGCGCTTGGAAAATGCCGTCCAAGCCCTCGATGCCACACAACCACATGGGAGAGCGAGATCACAGCGAGGTGGCCATCGAGCTTAGCTTGGGGAACTAATGTGCATTATGCCTGTCCCTGTCGAGCCGGATGCTTGCGCACGGCCCCAACATGCTATGCCTGGATGCCGAAAAAGGGCGTTGACCAGGAGTCCAGGAAGATAGCAGTAATGAGCCATCTCAAGCTTCCGATGTGCCCTACCTCCTCCTTGGGACAGCTTGACAAGATCGGTCCAGTGGTACAGTACACGTTCCAACTTTACAGGCAAACGGGTAATGGTCGTGCCGCGTGGTAGGCTGGTAGCGGTGTTGCTACAACATGGGATCTTGCCATCTCATCTCATTATTCTCATATACCGCACAGATCTTTGTTGTTGGCTAAACAAGACGTCCAGGATGGTCTTCTGAGGGTACCAGGTATGCTGGAGACTTTGGGAGTGATATGCAGATATAGAATGAGACAACAACCTGCCGTGGTGGCCATGGCCATGAGTGAAGGAGTGAGTGAGGTGTTTTTTAGCATTTTAGCACAAGCTAAGGAATCTGTGGAATGAATGAGAAGTCTGCAGAGAAGATGCTACCTCCTCCTCTCTTCTGACAGTCATGTGATGATAATAAGGCTGATATCGGGTCCTCCTCGGCTCGTCCCACATTCGAATACCGAGCTTCGCAATGTCACATGTCACGATGCATACTGTAACTGACCACAGCTTCAAGCGGAGCACGGAAGAGTGCCAATGCAACAATCCCATGATTAGTCGAACCGCCCAAGGAGAGTGATCTCTCTCGCCATGCCCGCGCGAGCATGTACCGCACCAACGATCCTCGATTTCGCCGGCGCATCAATGACTTTACGCACACGCTCGAGTCCGCCAACGAGGCCACGCAAAGCGGCCTGTACATCTTCATCCAGACCTATGTGCGGCCATGTTGCGAGAGCGTCGCATCCTGCTTCACCACGTGTATCGATGCCAGCTGTCCGAGCGTGAATCTGAGCCAGCGCGACCGCACACGGCGACAGCGCGCGCGCGGCCAGACCAGAGGCCGCGCCGAGCTGAGCTTCGACTTTTACGATGACTGGGACGAGGACGAGAACGATGGCCTGTTAGGCTGGGGCAATGACGAGTTTGATAGACTCGTAGCAGGTAGTGGAGCGCATAGCTATGGGACTGTCGATGCGCAACCGGGTAGGCAGCGAGGCATGTCATATCCCAAGACGCGACGGAAAAGTCTCGTGGACGGCGAAGACCCTACCGTGATTCCTGGAAGCAGTGGTGGCTTCTTGCGCCGACTCTTCGGCGGCAAAGATCTGCGATACAAGCCCAGCGCGGCGGATTTGCAAGAACATCCGGGAGCAAGAAGCACGAAAACACGAACAAGAAGGGCTGGACACGAGAGTGAGGCCCTGCTGGACGATGATGAGTTGGCCGCCGGGCGAGGCAAAACTCGTGCGAGAAGCGGGACGCAAGGCAGCCACAACACCACGAGCAGCTACAGCAGCAGAGGGGACATATTTCCAAGTGACGAGGAGGATGATGCCATCCCGCTGGACGATGAGTTTGCCATGGTGTTAGAGCGAAGGGCCACCTTGACTGGCCTGGAGACAGAAAGCAGTTCGGGCAAGACAGCACCTGCCAAGCGAGGCAAGCGGCCTTCTGCTGGTAGTAGGACTTCCACAAGGACGTTTTCTTCGCGAAGTACTCGAAGCGGAGGAGGCAGCGGCAGGAAGAGGAGGAGTCGCACAAACAGCCATGCTCCCGCCTCTCACTCCAATGTGGCCGAAGAATACGAGTCTCCACGAGAACGAACGCCTTATGCCGACCTGGAGCGGCAAGAGGCGCGAGCTGCCGCCGAAGAGGAAACCGACATGCTTCGAAAGTCGGCAGTTCAACTTCTAGATCATCGTGGCCTTGGCGACCAGGATCTGAGCAGCAAGGAAGCTACCCCACGGAGTACGACTCCAGCTGTTGCAACAACCGAGCCTGCCACGACTACATGTGCTCAACAAGGGGACCAGGGACCACTGAAACAAACATCTGTGACGCCGTGTGATGACCAGGAAGTAGCACCAGGGCCAGCTATTCGCGATGACTGAGACTCTGGAACAGTCGGTGAAGAGAACCGCAGAGTACCCTTTTTTGTTGTTGTATGAAATGCGTTACAGCGAGGCGTTTGGGGAACTGGCCCATCTTTTTTTTTTTTGAAAGCATGATGGATGACGATGATGGGAAGGGGGGGGGG